AAAAACTTCGATCGAAGTTATGGAGGACTTGCGAGAAGGACAGTTCTCAGAAACAGGACTCACAAGAAGGATTTTCTGGACAAGGAGAACTTTTCGTCTCATGTCAAGAAGCTGCATGAAGTCAGTCTTCTCGATGCACTGCAGTGGGCCAAGGAGGCATGATGGCAAGCCATGTCACAGAGGACAATCGCAAATTGTTGGCGCCACACAGGAATATTAGACAATGATGTGTATGAGTTCACGAGCAAGATGGCTAACTTGTAGTGGGATGTATACCAAGTATGTTGTGTGAGGTGAGCGTTCTGCCTTCTGGAGCACAATGCATGCAAAAACATATGCTCCTTCACGGCCAATCAGGTATCAACACGCCACCTCGTAACTAAATACTTGTCATGGAAAAATACCCCTGAAAAATAATTTCGTGCAACTGTCTCCTAATGCGGGGGAAATCTGTACGGGGAATTTTCCAGTGAACTTTCCCCGTGGAACTTTTGGCCGAGTCCACTGGGAAAGTGTGTTCTAGAAATTTCCAGTGGGACGTTCTCACGGGGAAAACGTTTTCACGTTCACAATTGCAGTTCATTGCAATGGCAGAGCAGGCTGTAATCGAGCAGAGTGATTCCAAGAAGAAGCACGCCCATCGCTTCACTGCTTCACAGGACGTAGATCTCTTGAAAGAGGTTATCTCTATTGGCCCCTACTGCGCACAATGCCTAAGCCCCATTCCACACTTACTAGCAAAGCACTCATGCGGCGATGAAACTCCGCCTCGTGCTCATTCAACCTCGCACCTTTGAATCCTGATACTATCACGTCATTGATCCCATACGCTGGGTCTCCGTAGATCACATAGCGAGTACCTGAAACAACTAGCACTCTCTGTAGTTTCTCAACCAAACCACTTTGTGCCAACAGGTACGCATCATGACGCGAGTCTGGCTCTGGTCCATGAAGATGGACAATAATTCCATCCGGTGATGTCACAGCTTGGTACTTCAATGCATGCTTTCGCTAGAATAGACTCTATTTGAAATTGAAAGTTGGTTATATGAAGCTCACCTTGTGACCATTGTAGACTGCTTTTTGAACCCTTTTTCTAGGTCGACATATACCACACTGTCCCGTCAATGAAGCCAATGCATGTTTTAAGGGTAGCTCCTTGTGCATGAATTGCGTTCCCACAGCTCTTCATCCAGTCGGCGTTGAGACGGTCGAAATCCCATTCCAGTAGGTGGCCAAACCTGTTGAAAACATGCTGAACCATGCCGTTAGCGATGGACGAAAGAGCCTCACGGCTACGGCCAAACGTCTGCACCATTAAGTCTCCGTCTCAAATACAAAGTTCCTGCCCGTATTAGCTGATGAATCGTTAATCACTCTAGGTATTTCGCATTCTACCAATGTTATGATCATGACCTGAATTAAAACTATACCACTAAATCTTTGGATAGCAGATGGACATCACACGCACAGATCGAGGTATTTCGTAAATGACAAATGATGTGATCAAAACCTATAGATATCTATAATCCACTGAGTTATAGAGGGATATGAGACTCGCGGGAAAAGATAGAATATGATTGGCTGCCGCCATAAATTGCGCACCGCAGCGTTTCGACACGCAACCATACTCCACACATATCAATTTCTCGTAAAAAATGGTCATGAACATCACCGCGATGCTTGAGAGCTTCAACCTCCAAACGGTCTCCGACCAGCTCTTCCTCGACGAAAGCCTCGAAGACTTCGGCCAGCTTGTCCAGGAGGAGAGCGAAGCACCAGCGTACACCAACCCTATCATCGACAAGGTGCTTGAAGAAGGCGGACCTGAAGCGTTTCGAACGTTTTGCAACTTCACGCCACCTGAGTTCGATACCCTGTGGGGTATGGTGGAATGTGCACTCAACGCACGCTTCAACGATGGGCGAGGACGCAAGTCAACAACAACACCGCGCGACGCGCTCTTTGTTACATTCGTCGTTCTTAAGTACTATCAAACATGGGAAAAACACGCCATGGACTTCCGAATGAAAGCCCCTACTCTCGAGAAGATGGTCCTCAAAGTCATCGACACAGTTCAGCCCGTGCTCTACGACCGTCTTGTAACAATGCCGTCGATGTCGCAACTTCGTGAGAGCAACAAGCTCTTTCGCAACTTCCCCTACGCCAAATACGCCACAGACGTCAAGTTCCAGCCGTCACACCGCCCTACCGGTCGCTTTGGGGAGCAGAAATACTATTACAGCGGGAAGCACAAACTCTATGGCCTAAAACTTGAGGCGTCAGTGTCACCCGAGGGATTCCTTGCTGACATGAGCCTTTTCTCACCTGGCTCCGTGTCGGACGTGACCATCTTCCGTGATCGCATGGACGTGCACGCTGCAGCCCTGGCCAAGACTGACACCGAACGCTCCATCAACGACAACGGCGAGCTGTTTGCTGCCTATCCAGACCACTGGGCAGTGCTTGTCGACATGGGATACACGGGACTGACCTCTGTTGCCCGTGCCGTCTACCCGAAAAAGCGACCTGCGAATGGCTCCTTGGATCGCCACGACCTTGATCGCAACGCTGCCGTGTCGTCGGACCGCGTCGTCGTTGAAAACTTCTTTGGCCGCGTGTGTCTTCTTTGGAAGATCTCCTACAGTACGTTCGTGTGGGGCACCAAGGTGTACGATGCCATTCAAAGACTCACCTTTGCTCTGACCAACTTCCATGTCAGCCTGTTGCCGCTTCGACAGGACGACCATCACCAGTATCGCTCTGTGCTGGCCCGCTACGCTCGCATGGCTGAAGAGTCAAAGACGAGACGGGCCGGTATCCAGCGGCGCTATCTTCAGCGCCGTGCCGAGCGCATGGCGAATCGATGTGGCCACGCAAGACGGTTGAGCATGATGCATACTGCCTCGATTGCTGAGGCTGCGTAACGGGTTTTGGTGGTGAACGGGTCGGGGATCTCGAGGAGTTGAACGAGCTCCAAGATTTGAGACTTGCTAAAGCGAAACTTGAAACGGCAGTCCATGTTACTTTGGGCGGCAAAATCGAAACGTGCTGCAGGTATGGTTATAGCACGTGACGACGCGATATGATCCAAAAGAACAGATACAAACGGAAGTGCCGCATGAATCTGTTGCATGACTGTGATTTTCCCGATAGCAAAAGCACAAAGAATCAGGAAGAGTCTTTGCGAACTTTCTAGAAACGTGTGAGAGGAAAATTGTGGGGAAACTCTCGTGCAAAATCTCTCTATTGGCGGCATTTTTCTCATAATACTCCGATTGAGTGTCTGATTAGCGTTCTGGAGAGCGCAAGATCTCTGCTTTGATTGGGTAGTTTACAGCCCATTCCAGCCATTTTGGTTGTTGAGATATTGCGCGGCAAAACTTCCGGGTCATGGACAGCTAAAACAAAATGACCCGCCAGCACTTCATTCCACAATTCATCGGAGAGCCAACACGTCCTGCACACACCTATCGCCACTACATGCCTCCACGTTCACCGCGGGGAACCGGTGATGCTCCTGTCGCCGTCCGGGACCTCCCAGA